CATGGTAGCTATTCTGACACTTTTATGAAATAGTGCACATACACTAACTGGCTCCGCGGACACAGCCGTCTTTGATTTAGGACAACTATTTGCTGTCTCGCTGCAGTTTGACCAAACTCCCCATCACATTCATTCCCTTTAAATACACTCCTAATTATGTGCTGCCTAATGGTTTGCCAGCCGATGTGCCTTTGTATATTATAATGGAAAAGCCATCAGTATAATGACAGTTTTATTCTTTGCATAAAAACACTTCAATTAATTGAACACTAATTGAACACTGGGTGTATTACAACTTTAGAATTGTAATATTTATTTGGTTCTGCACTTTTTCTTGCCACAGAATTACAATCGTATCAACTGAAATGTGAAGAGGCTTTTTGCACAGTGGTGGCCACTAGCGGAGTGAACTGTGAACAGCGATAAGGTATAGCTAAGAGTGGTCCAGACTAGGGATGTAACGGTATGAAAATTTCTTATCACGATTATTTGACCAAAATGATCACGGTTATCAGTATTATCACGGTGTGGTTAAAATGTACTTTACTTTAGCATGAAACCCATCCATCGTTTCCTCAATATTCGCGTCATTTTTGCTGCACGCAGCTTCGCGCTCCTGACGCGGCGAGTATAAACCAGGCTCTACACTCAAAGAGCTGCGTAGCTCAAACGAGTCGCACGGTTTCGTTATGCTTTCAGTTTCGTTTGCCGTTTGATGTTTCTCACGTGCAACAGAAATGCAGCGCTTTTGAGTTCAACAATGCGGTGGTCGCGCCAGTGCGACCACACACAAAATTTAGTCACACCGGCAGAAAAAATTATCGCAAAATGCGCCCATTTAGTCGCACACTGGAGCCCTGTGCAGTACAGTATTTATTTATCCTCATTTGTTCAAATCACGGTAATGAATACGGTTATAATGATAATTAAAATATGAAACGGTAATACTAACCGTGGGGTATTTTATCACGATTTGTCAAACCGGTAATCGTTACATCCCTAGTCACGGTTATAATGATAATTAAAATATGAAACGGTAATACTAACCGTGGGGTATTTTATCACGATTTGTCAAACCGGTAATCGTTACATCCCAAGTCCAGACTAACCTTACGAACGAATGACTTACAGAAGGTATACTTAACTAAGAATGTTTCGGGAAACATGTATTAATGTAAAGGTACAACTTACGAACGATGTAGCGTTAAGAAGGTTTCGGGAAACGCAGCCCTGGTCAGTACTAACATATAATTAATTTCTAATGTTAAAATCACATTATATGAATGATAAGAACCCAGTGCAAATGCTGCTATGTTGATGAATGGAAACAAAAATATTGTTCTAGAAACTAACCAACTGGGGGCTGCGTTTCCCGAATCCTACTTAACGCTACGTCATTCTTAAGTTGTACCTTAACCTGTACCTTATCGTTAATACGTGTTTCCCAGAAACATTCTTAGTTAGTTAAGTATACCTTCTGTAAGTCATACTTTCGTAAGGTTGATCTGGACCACTCTTAGCTATACCTTTGCACTTTTGACAGTTCACAGTTCTTTACATCTCATTCTATACGAATATAATAGTTGTGCAAAATCAAAAACCGCGCTGTCTGCGGAGCCATATAGTGTACTAAAAGTTTAGAAAAAAAAAATATGTATAAAAAAGCAAATTCAGCAGCTTTTAGATCTTCTTGGTCCGATTTTGTCGAGACAAATTCAGCTGCTGGCGGCTCTCCTCTTTCCCTCTTTTTCTCCGTAGTAGCTGTTAATTATATGTTTCTCCTATTGCCTTTTTATTGAGTAGGTCATCCAATAACAGAAATTAGTGATTTACAGCAACATGTGATGCAGCTGCTGGGCAATCAACCCTGGTTGTGGAGTAAATGAAGAAATATATTATGATAATATAAATGACCCATTCAAAGGCCAGTGAAGGTATACTGTCAGTTAGTGATATAGGCTACGTTTGGGCATGAGGTTGTGGGTTCGCTCACTCATTTCAAAATTATATAAATATCCACAGGGTTGGATTTAGTTTGCAATTTGGATTATTTTTTAAAGATCCTATGAGTCCTGATAAATGCAATTTCAACTATTTCTGAAGTGCTTCTTGTTGGAAAGCACTCTTACCACAATGTTTTTCTGTTGGACTTGTGTAGGACCAAGGTGTTTTTTTTATTTTGTTATTTTTTTTTCTCTGTTCTGTTAAAAGCTGTTAAATTATTAAACAGTGAGTGTCTCGTGTAGTTTTTTATCCTTGTATTTTATGTGGTGACCACTGGGAGGTGCTCTGGGCATATATTTTTCTTTCTTGGTTTTCTTCCCTGACGTGATGTATGTTGCAAAGCGAAAGTAAAAGTTTCACGCAATTTCGTTTGCGTTCTAACAGGAAAGAGTTCCGTGTCTTTATTTAAAATCAACACTTTCTCACATAACGCAGTGAAGCAGCCTGTGCATTGAATGAATAATCGATTCTCGAGCCATTGATATCAACCAATTCAGCATCACCGCCATGGACAGCACCTGGTAACATCGCACGTAAGAAGGTATATCTTAAGCAACCTCCTAAGGTATAGTTCGGGGAACACGCCTTGAAATAGTACACCTTTAGTTAAGACATACCTTTAGAGTCTTCCTAGCGCGCTAAGAGACAGCGTTATTGGGAAACGCAGCCCTGTTCTGTTTCCTATAAAAGTGAAAGTGAAAGTGACGTGACATGTGGCCAAGTATGGTGACCCATACTTGAAATTAGTGCTCTGCATTTTAACCCATCCAAAGTGCACACACACAGCAGTGAACACACACACACACCGTGAACACACACCCGGAGCAGTAGGCAGCCATTTTTGCTGCGGCGCCCGGGGAGCAGTTGGGGGTTCGGTGCCTTGCTCAAGGGTACCTTGAGTTTTCATATAAAGTTTTCATTCTTTATAAGTTTTAAACGCGGAAGTAAGCAGTTTTCTAATTCTGTCAATGTGCGAGACTTCTGGTTCATATGGAAGCCCGTTTCCGCCACTGAATAAAAAACTTTTTATCTCACAATTCTGACTTTTTTTCACAGAATTGTGAGATATAAACTCGCAATTGCTCAATATAAATTGCTCAATATTTTTTATTCAGTGGCGGAAACGGGCTTCCATACAAACAAAACAAGTGATGG